ATGACCTCTAGAAATTTTCTTGAATATCTTTAAAATGATAGCAGCACAAACGAAAATTTTTGCAGCACAAACTTAGCACAAACGTTTGATACCACTTTTGTTGGATTTGAAGAAGGTGGGGGGCCAACTTCACTCACATGCGAACATCAAGGGAGCGACTATTTTAAAGTGCTAAAGTTAGCACTGCAGCTAACAGTAATCTTTCATAAAACTACTAAGGTAAAAACAAGGTTATTCTTTTTTTCCTCTCTTTTTTCTTTGAAAACAGTTTAACTTTAAAAGGACTTGTCATGTCAAAACTTGTATTTTTATGGTCATAAAAATAAAACAGTACAGCACTGAGAGTTTTTTACTCACCACAGTAGTCAGCTAAGTGGAATGAGGGCGGTTGGCGGTTGGGTTAAAAAAAAGATGAGGTGTTCAGGAGGTCCTCGGAAATTTGAGATATAAAATGATAACGCGTGAGCGCGCATGCGTCTGAATGTGTCTATGTCTGAGAGAGAGAGAGACAGAGAGACAGAGAGAGAGAGAAAATACACTAGACTTTCTCTCTCTCTGTACAAATTGGCAGCTGGAATACTTTTAAGTTCTCTTTATGGTTTTTTGTTTTAAAATTCTGTTTTACTTCCATTAGTTTATATTGAAATACATGCAGATTGAAATTAAATTTGAAACATGATTAAATTAAAATTTGTGTGTGTGAGTGTGTGTGGAGGGGGGGGGAGTGGGTGGGTTGCAAGACAGAGAAAAAGAAGTAATGAGTTGACAGTTAGTATCAGCGAGTGAGTGACATACAGAGAGAGTGGGACTGGCATCAAATGAACTGTTTTGTAGTCTATTCCATGTATCTACTGAGAAAGCTCAAATCTCAAATACTGTATCGAATCATTGGTTTACTTTGTGGTAATAGTGGTAGTAGTGCCACCAGCTTTACAAATGACACTAAAGCTTATTATGTGATAAAAACATTTAATTCCTTTTTTGGAAAAGAAATTAATCAAAAAAGTTTAAGACACCACTTAAAACAGATACAAAAACCTGGCTAGGT